GGCAATGGGATCCCACAAGCGATACCCCTTTACACCATCAATATACCCCAAGAATTTGTATTTCCTGGATTTTGGATCCATCTTTGAGATTTCTTGGGAGTTGTACATCACGTACACAATACTTCCAAATACATGGAGGTTTGAATAATCAGCTGATTTACCAGTCCACATCTCCATTGGTGTCTTCAGCCCTATTGCAATTGATGGAGCTCGATTCACCAAATAACAGGCGTATTGACTGTTTCTGCCCAGAATGATTTTTCTAGGCCTGCATCCCTCAACATTGCTCTTGTTCTTTCAAACAAGGTTTTGTTCATCCGCTCTGCCACTCCATTTTGTTGAGGGGTGTTTGCCACTGTGAACTGTCTATTGATGCCTTCTTTCCTGCAAAAGTCATCAAATTCTTCACTTGTGTATTCTCCTTCATTATCTGTTCTGAAATACTTGATCTTATTTCCATAATCAAGTTCCACCCGCGCCTTGAAGTTTTTGAAAGTTGAAAACATGTTTGACTTCTTATTAATAGGGTACGCCCAATATCTCCTGGAGTAGTCATCAATAAATGAGACAAAGTATTTTGCTCCACCTAGGGATGTAACTGGTGCTTGCCATATGTCAGAGTGAACCAATTCTAGAACACTTTTGCCTCTAGAATAATATGTGTTGAATTTCAACCGGTGTTGCTTACTTGTTATGCAATGCTCACACAAAGGAAGTGATACATTTGTTAAGCATGGAAGTAGCTTTTGCTCCACAAGGACTTTCATTCCTTGTTCTGACATGTGTCCAAGTTTCTGATGTCATATCATTGCAGAATCTGAACTACATGAGGCAACAAAGGCTTCTGCTTCTAGTAAAGTCTCTCCCTTCAGCATGTACAAGTTTGCAACTATCTTTTCGCCTTTCAGCACCACAAGCGCTCCACGGAACACCTTCATGATTCCTTTCCGTGTTTTAATCTTGCTTGCATTATTATCCAACAATCCGTAGGATAATAAATTTTTCTTCAGGCCTTTCACGTGCCGCACATCTCGAACAACTTTAATTGTTCCATCATAGATCTTCAATTTGATGGTTCCCACGCCAACGATCTCTAAGGCATGATCATTGCAACTATACACAGATCCTCCTGAGACAGGTTCATAATGATGGAATCATTCTCTTCTTGAGGTCATGTGATATGTTGCTCCCGAACAATGAGCCATATATCTGCAAATCTTTGTCTGCCTTCCACGGTGGTTGACGCTTCACAGCATAGAGCATCTCCATCATCTGAAGTGTTTGCGGTATTACCTTGTGGATTGGAGTTTTTATTTAGACTGAAACAATCCTTCTTCAAGTGACCTTTCTTTCCACAGTTATAGCACTTTAAATTCTTCTTGCTTCTCGACTTCGATCTACCATGTTTGTGACTACTGCTTTGGCCACGTTCTGTTGATCTCCCTCTCATTGTTGTCAACGCTTCTGCTTGTTATAGATTTACTTGTCTATCTTCCTTGTTCTTGCGCCGATTTTCTTCTTGTAGAACAGCAGCTGCAACGCCATCGAAGACTATACTGGTGACATTACTGTTTGTCAAGTTGATGATGATTTGATCATACGAATCAGGTAGACTTTGAAGTAGAAGTTTAGCATGTTCTTGTTCTCCTATTGTACATCTTAAGGATGTAAGCTTAGAAAATAATGTGTTCAATGTGTTTAAGTGCTCCGTCACTGAAGTAGATTATGGCATACGGAGAGTGTACAATTTTCTCTTAAGGAAAATTTTATTATGCAACGATGTGGCCTCGTACAATTTGGTGAGATGATCCTATATCTCCTTAGTTGTCTTCTTCTCCTCGATGCTTGACAATACTTCATCTGCTAATGCTAGATGAAAGTTTGCCATATCATTCCCGTCCATTTCGATCCATTTGTTGTCATCTGTGAAATCTACCGGCCTTTCACTGACAACTGCTAGACAACCGTCTTTCCTCAGGATGACTTTCATATTCAATTTCCACAATGAGAAATTTCTCCCATTGAATTTTTCAATATCAAATTTTTTTGCCATAGCTTCTTTTACGGATAGCTCACACTATTTCACTATCATGAATAATTCTCTAGAACCTTCAAAGAATGGGTAACAACTTCTTACTTTCTTATGTTGGAGGATCTACCTTTTGGTGGCAACCACAAAGACAATAAACAGATATTACACACTCAACTCTGGCTCGGATACCAATTGTTGCGGAAGATGGCTATCAGATAGAGCAAAATCGCAACTAATAATTTGAGAAAATAAAAATGAAGATAAAAGAGACACAAAATTTACGTGGAAAACCCCTAAATAATACAGGGTAAAAACCACGGGCAACAGTAGAAGCATTTCATTATGAGAAAATAGGAATTACAACTTCTCTCGATCTACCAAAGAGAAAACAATGATAATTCTCTCTTGATAAAAAGGAGAAACCAACTCTCAAGAAACTCTCTAAATTCTCTCTAGTATTGGAAGAAAACTAGAATGCTTTGGGATGATTTTGAAGCTAAATGGGTTATGGTATTTATAGTTGAAGCTTAAGGACTAATCTTGTAAATACCTTAAATTTCAATGACTAAATAAAATTTTCCCATTACCATTTAATTCAACAAAATCAAGCTGTGAATGTTGAATTGTCCAATCACCGAAAAACAAAGTCTAAAAATCTGACTTTTAACATAAAGTCGGGGTTTTCTTGAAACTCGGATTCTGATTGGGAAACATTAAGAGAAGCTGAAGCTTAGATAATAGTGTAAATCAGCAATGAAATAAATAAATAGGAGGGGGAAAATACATCCAGATGCATTATATTGATTCAGCAGTAAACTGAAATTCAAAACCTAACAAGAATTGATCTGCAATAAACTCAGAAACCATGCTTCAGCTTCCTAAATTTAATGTGGAAAAGACTAATAAGTAGCACATTCACAGATCCATTCTACAGGAATGGGGGAAGAATGAACCATCATCGAGGGTACTTCAGCCTTCCATCCTTACCGCCAAATAGCTGCAAGCGAAAAGAAGTAACAGTCTAGCATAAACTTTAATAGACTACGGATGATGACCGCAACAGATAATTTGCTACCATACATGAACTTATAGGAGTTTATAGGCATAGAGCTTTGCCTATGCGTTTGATTAACATAATGAAATAACTTGACATGTTAATCAAAGAAATATCCGATTTAGTAGTTCAAGTGGTAAAAGGAAATACCTTATTCAATAGGCGATGCTTCATGAGGGCCCAATTCGTCATGATAGAAGTAGCAACCACAAGAAACACATAGCCTGCAACTGTCTGAGTAGCAATATTGAAGCCCAACCATTGGTAAATCTTGGTTGTTTAATTCGTGCATGTCACGATGTTGAACAGAAAGCCACGAGAAATTTGAAATCGTCCACCGATGTCCGGACCACGTAGATTCTTCAGTATGATATGGCAATACAATTTTGCAAGTTGAAAAACCAAACCAAACCCGAAGCCAATCTTCATCTGTAGGTCGCCAAACCCGTACCAGTTTTGCACCAATAATGTGTCAGTTTAGTATGTATTTATATATCCTTTTTGTCTTAGCATCATAAACTCCTTTATGGGAGGTCTTAGAATAAAAACTTTTGTTTTTCGAGGATATAAGCAATGCATTTCTGGTAAACATCTCTCTCAATGAAAACTTCAGTTTTGCACCTATACTTTGTCAGTGTAGTACGTGTTAGTATATCCTTTTTCGATTGATTGAGAATTTGAGATTATATATACTTTCTTCGAGAGAGTGTCAGAGAAGGAACAGTCGCAGACATCACTCTCAATGTAAACAGCATTCGAAGTGACAAACATCTTAAGGGCATGAATTCAATATTGGAAATAGAACTCCCTTGTTCTTTTAGAGTCAAGGAATTAACAACTGTTTCTGGGTCGATTACAAAGGCAATGATGTTAAGATGACTCTATAACGCGATTTCTCTTATACTTGAGGCATGAGGTGTTTTCGAATTCTAAAATCCAGTGGTTATTTCCATTGTGTTATTGATAATTGGGCTTTGAAAGAAGCCTTGCAAAGATATAAGGCAATTTAAATATGTTGTTGTCAAGGTCTACTAAAATTTGTCCGATTTCATATGGTAATTTATGGCCATTAATGATAAATATTCCAGCGTCATCTATGTACAAATGTTACAAATGGCTTTTAGCTCTTGTTTAGTAAAAGGATTTCACAATCAAAGAAAAGTCCTTCAACACGGATTTTATTGGCAGAAGACTAATTAGAAAACAAACATTTAACATGGTTTCGAAAGTGACCATAGAAAAATGCCATTCATGTAAGGGTATTGAGAGTCCCTTTCAAGTTGCTTTCAGTTTGTCTTATTCTTATTCTTTTACTCTGATATCAGAATCAATTTTCCTGCAGTTCTTCCCATCAACTTTTTATAATCAATTTGGAAAGAATAATCCTAGCGTATAAATTACAACAGGAAAAATTAGTGTGAATTCTTTTATTTGGTATGACCATGCATGACATGGTGGGAAGAGTCCATGAATTCCAAAACTACTTATATTGAAGTCTAATTCTTGTTGATGAATCAAACACTCTCAAATACAAATCAATCTCACCAACTGCGAAATTGTTTCAGTTCGATGGAGCTAACAAAAAAGCAATCTGAAGCGTCCATCTCTTTTTTCCTTGTTTACATTGAAGCTATAATTCTTCTCTCATGCTTCAACTTGCAGGGTCTTAATATAGCAACAGCAAGCCCTATAGTTAGAGGAAATGACACTGATCAACAAGCTTTACTCCAGTTCAAGTCCAAGATAGCAGGTGATCAGCTCAATATTTTGGAGTCTTGGAATAGTTCCATCCACTTCTGCAAGTGGCGTGGAATTACATGCGGTCACAAGCATCAGAGAGTCACCAAATTGGAACTGCAATTCCTCAAACTCTTAGGATCTTTATCACCCTACATTGGAAACTTGAGCTTCATTATGGAGTTGAATCTAGTGGGAAACAGCTTCTACAACGAGATTCCTCAAGAAATTGGTCTTTTAAAAAGACTGGAAATATTAGAACTGGTGAATAACTCCATCAGTGGTAAAATTCCTTCCAATTTATCAGCTTGTTCTAAGCTTACATGGGTTGACATGAGAGGCAACCAACTAACAGGAGAAATACCTGCTTCGCTGGGTCTCTTGTCAAACCTGAAAGTCTTTGGCGTTTACAACAACAGTTTGAGAGGGAGTATCCCACCTTCATTAGGGAACATATCATCCCTAGAGAAACTTTCTTTGAGTTTAAACGCGTTAAGTGGGATTATACCTGAAGCTCTTGGAAGGCTGACAAATCTTTCATATTTCATTGCAGCGGGAAATGAAATATCTGGTACTATTCCAGTCTCAATGTTCAATCTCTCCAATCTTAGAAAATTTGATATTGGTGTCAACAATATTCGAGGTACTCTTCACTCTGACTTAGAAATCATTATGCCATATGTTGAGACCTTTTCCATAGGATCCAACCAAATCTATGGACAAATCCCAGTTTCAATATTCAATGCCTCAAATCTGAAAATACTTCTACTTGATGATAATAGACTCAGTGGAAATGTGCCTTCATTAGAAAAGCTGGATAAATTGTACAGATTTTCCTTATACAATAACCCTCTGGGACACGGGAGAGAAGGTGACTTGAGATTTGTCTGCAGTTTAGTCAATAAAACCAAACTAGAAATTCTGTGGTTAGGCTTAAATAATTTTGGAGGGGTATTTCCCAAATGCATTAGCAATTTTTCTACAACCCTTTTACAATTAGTAATAGAGAAGAACAAAATAGTGGGAAGAATACCGAGTGGGATTGGAAATCTCATCAATTTGGAGGTGCTAGGTGTTTCAGGAAATCATTTATCAGGCCCCATTCCCTTTGATATTGGGAGGCTTCAGAAGCTGACACTCTTTCACGGTGACACTAATTCTCTGTCTGGGACTATTCCTCGTTCTATTGGAAATTTAACAATGTTAATTAGACTTGTTTTATATCTTAACAATCTTCAAGACAACATTCCTTTAAGTCTAGGCAAGTGTAAAATGTTGCAATATTTGGATCTTTCTGATAACAATCTTAGTGGACCAATACCTCGGGAAGTATTTGGAGTCTCATCCTTGACCATTTTACTAGACTTGTCATCAAACTATTTGAGTGGTAAGCTTCCTGTTGAAGTAGAAAAACTGAGAAATCTAGGTCAATTGGATGTCTCTGAAAACAGGTTATCTGGCATTCTTCCAAACAGCCTTGGTAGCTGCATAAGTCTAGTGAAGTTGTTCTTGAAAGGAAATTCGTTTGAAGGGTTCATTCCATCATCTTTGAGTTCATTGAGAGGCCTTGAGGCATTGGATATATCTCACAATAATCTTTCGGGTGAGATTCCAGAATTTCTTGTGAACTTTGAGTCATTAAAGTATTTAAACCTCTCTTTCAATGATTTTGAAGGAGTGTTACCAAGTGAAGGAGTCTTTAAGAATGCAAGTGCTACGTTCGTTGAGGGAAACAATAAGCTTTGTGGAGGCATTCCTGAGTTACACTTATCAAAATGCGACTTGAAAAAATCATCAAACATTTCCCTTAAATTGAAAATTAAAATTATTATTGTGGTTTTAGGAGTGACTTTGGTTTTCACTTGTCTCCTCTTCTTGTGGTTGAGAAAGAAGAAAGAGCAAAATCCAACATCAACTTGTGCAGAAAATTCACTTTTGCAGTTATCATACCAAAGTCTCCTAAGGGCTACTGATGGATTTGCCACACATAATTTGGTTGGTTCGGGAAATTTTGGTTATGTGTACAAAGGAATTCTCGAAGAGAGTGGTGTATCTATTGCAGTAAAGGTGCTTAATCTTCTGAATCGTGGAGCATCGAGGAGTTTCTTAATTGAATGTGAGGCCTTGAAGAACCTTCGACATCGAAATCTTGTCAAGGTACTAACAGCCGTTTCGGGGGTCGATTACAAAGGCAATGATTTTAAAGCCTTGGTTTTTGAGTTCATGCAAAAAGGGAAGCTTGGAGGACTGGCTGCATCAATCTATCACCATGAATGAACCAGAGACAATGCGGAACTTGAATTTCTTTCAAAGAGTTAATGTGGCCATAGATGTTGCTCATGCACTCGAATATCTACACCATCATTGTGAAACGTCAATCATTCATTGTGACCTCAAACCAAGCAATATTTTACTCGATGACAAAATGGTTGGCCATATAAGTGACTTTGGCTTAGCAAAAATTATTTCGGCAGAGAGGCTTAATCATCCTGCTAATCATGCAAGCTCCCTTGGATTAAGAGGAACCTTTGGTTATGCTCCACCAGGTAATTACATTGTATTCATTTATTTAGCAGTTATTCAGAGTATTTTCCTCTACAATTATTTGTATATGTAAACTATGTTGAACTAATTGTAGAATATGGCATGGGAAATGAACCGTCAACAAAAGGTGATGTGTATAGTTATGGCATCCTCTTACTAGAGATGTTTACAGGGAAAAGACCAACTGATGAAATGTTCAAAGAAGGTTCAAGTCTTCATAACTTTGTTTCAGAAACTTTCCCGCATCGAATGATTGAGATTATAGATCCCATCCTTCTTCAAGAGAGTATGAGAGGAAGAACAGTTGCAGACATCACTCTCAACGAAAACTGCCTGGGAAATAACGGTCTTCAATGCTTGAATTTGATATTCGAAATAGGTCTCACTTGTTCCACTGAATCACCGAGTGAGCGGATGGGCATGAATGATGTTGTTACCAAGCTTTGTTCTGCTAGGGACAAGCTTCTTCGTCCAACTCGATTCCATCGTGGGATTCAAACTTCCTATGCTGCTGAATCATCAGGTTATAATGTCTTCTTATCTTGGCAAAATACTCGATCATGTAATCACTTAAGCCACATTTACATTACGTTTCTGAGGAAATGTGGTGCTTAAATAAAACCTTGTTTCATAAGTTGCAGGTATCTAAGGTGCCGTATGGATGGACTTGAGAGGATTAGGTCTGGAGAAGTGCTAGCTGTTCTCTTTTGTTATCATTCTGCTCTGAGAAAGAAAACAAACAAGGAGTTGTTCCAGTTTTTCACCAATAATTTGTCAGAGTAGTTTGTATTAATCTATCATTTTGTGTGTGTGAAGTAGATCGATACCTCATGATGCTAATATGGTTAGGAGAAGGAAAGAGAAAAGAGAATGAAACTTTGTGAAGTTTCCCTTCCTTAAGAACTAAGATTTCTCGCTTTTTCAAGCTGGAGCAATTATAAGCTGGAGCATTAAACGGATATTTAAACTGAGAACTGTTGCTTTCCCACTCCTCACTGCTGGTCTTTTGCAGACAAAAGATATTTGGGAAATAACTCAGACGCAAGAGCGAAGGTTCCTTGGCATCGGTTAATCTGGTTCTCATTGCATGTTCCCAAACACAGTCTGATTGCTTGGATGGCTCTCCTCGATCGTCTTCCTACCAGAGATCGCCTCCAACAAATGAGAATCTGTTTTGAAGGTATTTGTGTCAATTGCAACTCCTTCTAAGAGTCACGGGACCATCTCTTCTCCCACTGCCCTTTGGCAGCCGATCTCTGGAGCTCTATTCTGGAGCTCTATTCTGCAGCTTAATGGTATGAATACCTCTAACACGTCTTGGGATGATTTTATAGCTCGGGCATGTTATTCTTGGAAAGGGAAGTCATTTATCACTATCATATTGAAGCTTGCATGGTCTGCTTTCACTTATTCTCTGTGGTAAGAACGTAATTGCAGAATATTCTCGGGACGTCAAAGAAATGTTGAAGCCTTGCTCAAAGATATCAAGGATGTCGTAGCCATTCTTCTAAGGGACAAATCCATTAATAGACTTGATAGTATTAATCTTACTCTATGAAATGCTTGGAATATAACTTAACCAATCATTTTTGTTTCTTGACTGTTAATAGTTTCTTTTGTTGTTTGATTGGTTGTAGCAACTTTGTTATTTTAGGTAATAAATTTTTGAATTATCAAAAAAACAAAAGTTGTATTATCCCACAATCTATTATAATTATTGGGTTTCTTGTAAATTTAATTGGATCTCTCTCCTCACCTACTATTGAATATTTTTAGGTTGGACTGCTTAACGGGGAATTAGAATCTCCCTCTACAATTTTCCTTTTGAAATGTACAAAATTAAGCCTGTAATTGCAACTAAAATAGTTGAGAGCATGATAAAGATGATAATCATTCTCTTCATGGTAACTTGTCTTCATCACCAATAGTTCAGGCTTTGAAAGAACACTTGCAAAGACACAAGGCAATCTAAATATATTGTTGTTAAGGTCTACAAAATTTTTTCGGATTTCATAATGTTTTGCTAGGATACAAGGCAATGAATTCATGGTAATTTATGGATGAATATTCCAGCATCATCTTTGTACAATAGGAGATGTCCTACACGACGCAGAACTATTATAAATGGCATATAACTCTTGTTTAGTAAAAGGATTCACAATCAAAGAAAAGTCCTTCAACACAGTTTTTATTGGTACAAGATTAATTGGAAAACAAACAATTAACATGGTCTCCAAAGTGATCACAGGAAAAGCCATTCATGCAAGGGTATTCAGAGTGCCCGTCAAATTGCTTTCAATTTGTCTTCTTCTTCTTCTTCTTCTTCTTCTTCTTTACTTCTATATCAGAATCAATTTTCCTGCAACTCTTCCCATAGACTTTAATAATCAATTCGTAAGGCCATGAATGACGTGTTGGGAAGAGTCCATGCATGAGTTCCAAAACTACTTATATTGAACTCTAATTCTTGTTGATGAATAACACTCAAATACAAATCAATCTCACCAATTAAGAAATTGTTTCAATTCGATGGATTTGATAAAGGGATGTTTTTATACCAATTATATTAGAAATGATGATCAACTACTGTCAAAAGATAATAAAGAAGGATGTCGTGCATGAGAAAAAAGTTAAAGATTTAGGTCAATTTCATAAATGGAAAAACCCAAAACACAATATTTTAGTGTCAATATTAAACACTTGATGGGGCAAAATCAACGAGATAATGTTGTTGGAAAAAAAATTCATGAGATAATGCGTTATAACAATTAATTGCTGAGATAGGGTGAAATCTACAAGGAGGTCGCCATGTCGTCCCTGCGAGCTGTGGTGAGCTGCTGCATTACCTATATCGGTAATTAGGTTTTTACCCGAAACCCTAAAGTAACTAACAATCTCGCCAGTTTGGTCGCCGGGATCGACCTATAAGGTCGCCCGGCATACATGGCGACCTCCATTTCAGCGTAGTTAAAAAGCATAATTACCGATATAGGTAATCGTTGTTACTTAGGGAAATTAAGGTAATCGCATGAGAGCCAAATTACCGATGTAGGTAATATTTGTTACTTAGGGAAATTTAGGTAATCGTTGTTCGGAGCACATGACGACCAACATAGGTCGTTTGGAAGACATGGTGACCTATGAAAAACTGTAGCATTCGCCCCAGATGGGCAAATAATCCTTCGACTGCATCATCTGAACAAATTTTTTTTTTGAACACATTATTCCACAGATATTGCCCACTTGATCGTCAAGTGATCAAAATGAGAAAAATTTTAAAATTAAAGATATATGCTTAGCAAATAATAACAACATCGATGATAAGGACAACCATTGAAAATCTTCTGCCAACATATCGTTCTAACTCATGCACAATTTCTCTGCAGGTTCTTTGGTATATCTTTTAATAGGGACTCCCTTTGATATGTTGTTGCCAAAGTATTATTTTCCAAATCCAAACGGTGGAGAGGTGGAGAAGTACAGACTAATCAACGGTGGAGATTGCATATCTAACTAAGATAAGGTCTAAGCTTTAGTTTGAGTTTTATTGATTTGAGAAAACTAAACTAAGAAGAAGAACGATGAGAGAAAATGGAACGTCTCGGTACCAGTTACATTAGAAAGGATGATTGACGACTGTCAAAAGATGTCGTCCATGAAATTTTTTTTTAAAGAAAATCGATCAATTTCATAAATAAAATCCTAAAATACGATGTTTTAATGTTGAGCTTAAACACTTAACCATCGAGATACCAAAACGAGCAAAATTCAAAAATTATGAATTTATTCTTAGCAAATAATAATAAGGACAACCGTTGAAAATCTTCCATCAACGCGTCGTTCTAAGTCATGCACAATTTCTTAACAGTTTTGTTGGTGGATCATCTTTAATTATATAATTCTTCTTTAGTGTCATGATCATGTAATTACACTCAGGACAGGGTCTCAACCAGTGACTTGACCTTCTAACCTGTGAAATTAGTGGACCGATATTCAATCTGAATTCTTTTAAAAAATACCAAATTATTTTTATCCGAGTCAACAAGACAATAAATCAAATATATCAGATGGAATAATCCTGAACACCTTTATCAGTCGAGCTTCCTCTGCAAATGATAGTCAATTTTGATATTGCTCTCCAGCCTATAGTATAATCCAAGGCTATAAACTTGAACCAACTAGAATGGTATAATAACAGAGTTCAAAATATTGCACTCTAGTTATAACAAGCGCACTTCTTATATAGCCAATAGTGGGATCCATATGGAATTGGTAGCCACATGACTATTATTAGAGGTGTATGTAGTCAAGTGTATAAGCTGAGTCAGCAGCAGTTAAAGGACTGTTAATCTGTTAAGGGTGGTTAGATAGTTTGTTAGGGTTAACTGCTTGTAAAGTTGTGTATTAATATGGTGCTTGTAAGCAACATGTGCTTCACTTCTCTTTGATGAATATATTGTTGATTTGTTAAATTCTCAGTAGCTCAATATGGTATCAATCGTCGTTGGTTCTGGGTGAGTGAGTTAAGCTTTCGCTGCTTGCTCCAGTCTCGCTTCTTTGTTGCTTGCTATGGATATTTCGCTTGGATGTGCGAAAGGGTTCTCAAAAACGAAGGTCAACATTATTCTTGATGAGATAATTTTTTTGCTATGGAAGCGGCAGATCTTGTTGACGATTCGCAGTCACCGTCTTGAACGACTCTTGACTGGTGCCATGCTGCCTCCACCGGAGACTGTGCTTGATGATGATGGTGAGGAACGTATTAATGAAGCCTATGAAGAATTTTTTGCACAAGATAGTGTTGTTTCTTCTTGGCTGTTATCGACCATCAGCCCTTATATTCTTCCTCATTTTGTGGGAGTAGAAACTGCTGCAGCAGTATGGAAAATAGTGTTACAGTTCTTTGCAAGCAGATCTACAACAAC